AACTCACCCCGTTATAAGAGATCAATGAAGGGATATATCGAGATCGAAGCTTTAATCGCTGTCAACCCTATCTACAAATAAAAGCAATGAAGTCAATAACAGATTGGATCGTTGAAGCCAAAACAATGAAACAATGGTTCCAAGTGTAAAATGATAAGATGAACATTGCCACTATTACAAGAGTCAAAAACGGTTCATATAACATTAGATGTCCAGACATTGTATTTTGGAAGTCGATCTCCTTTGTCTGACTGCCGCTATTTTGATCCAATCAGTATAAATAGGCTTTGTTTTGAGGAAATTGGGCAGTTGTCAACAGCTCGACACGAGATGCAGTCGGACTGAAACTTCGTTAAACTGGTGGATTAGGACCATTTCCGACTTCCTTTCCTTCCAAATGTTTGCCAGCTTTTGTGGCTGACTATTCCAGACGACATATTGTGGTGCTATCCTGGGGGCCTAGGTCCATACCTCGGGGCTCTGACTGCAAGCCAACTCTCCTGTGCCCACCCTTTTTTTTTTTTTACAACTTCATGTAGATACTTTTTGATGTTAAAACTGGAAACAACCAGAAGATAATGGAGTATGAAGCCTTAAATTCTACGTATTGTGAGGACGTTTATCAAAATTTTCTTCTTTATTAATACGAAAATAAAACAAGCTTTCGGAAATCTCCCTTCATCAGATGATGGCAACCAAATAAGAGAGAGAGGTTATTATTTATTTGAATAAAAATTATATTTGTTATTCAATAACCTAAGATTGACATGTCTATTAATATTTTGAAAATGGATAAAGAGAGTAATAAAGGTTCTATTGCTATATTTAGTCTTCTATGTGTATCTGGTATAAAAAAAGCAAAGAAGTATCTGTGTTATTGTGTTTTTCTATTTCTCTGGCTGGGTATTGCTTGATATAGCGGTATTGGGGCGGTTGTTCACTGTTAATGATATTTTGTACTGTGCGAACATTGATGGTTCGAGGGCAAGAATTTCAGTTTTAGAGGTAATATTTCGATAGTGGCTTTTGGATTCAGGGAAACTGGTGTTCTGTCTAAGTGATGTGTTAGAATATTTGTGATGTGCTGAGTAGAAATAAAAATGGAAAGCTTAACCTTTGCAAATCATCCTTACGTTGATGTCAAGCTAATCTCTGTAATAGTTGTACAGTTATGCCACGATACAGAATGTCTATATAGATGGAAATTTTGCCGGGAGGATATTGATCTAAAAAGACAAAGGTCACCTCTCCCGTCAAATAGATGGCGTCTAGCTTTGACGTCTATTTTGACGGGAGAGGTGACCTTAGTCTTTTTAGAATGTCTATTCGACCGTTACGACCCGGGTTCGATTCCCGCATTGGACACTTTTTTTTATATTAAAAAAAAATGCTCCAATGGCCCCCGACTCTTTCAAAATTCCAACCCCACCAGCGAGTGCAAGTAACCAAACGGGGCTCTGGCACATTTGTAAATGCAAAGTCGAACTACTTTTCACATGTGTAGACATGTGGTGCACTTACAGTAAAAGCAGTTGCCTACCTCTACCAACCATAATTATCATGGACTGTACCACGTGTACTAGGGATAAGCAAAAAAAAAAAAGAATGTCTATCATCAATTGTAGAGATAAAGTACTGTGAAATGTAGATTCTAGAAAGTCGTCATAAGAGTTAATGAAGCGACAAGCCGCCAGAGCTCGGAGCCAAGAGAGTAGAAGAAGAAAAAAACCCGAGAGAGTGCAAGAGCCCATTTTACCCGCGCCACATACCACCAGCCGCTACGGAGAGGCCAGAAAAAAAAAGTTCCCCCGGAGCTCGATAGATGGCGTTGCCAAGGTATCAGGTTTCACCCCGTCCAGGAATAACTCTCGCCAGGAACCCGAGCTGCCGTTGGTAAATAAACAGGGTCCCGCCATCCCATAATAGAACCTTTTCCTTCCTCCTTACTCCCCTAATATAGCTCCCATTTTATCATAATCACCATGTCGTCGGCAGCCATAAACATATACAGTTCACACATAACATAACAGTAGTTGTATGAACAGGACTTTCGATACAAACCAACGTCACATTTTCTGATACTAGGCTGGGGAATGGATAAAGCTGAGGGCACTATTGTCTGATTAATTCTCCAAGGCAGTGTACTGTATTTACCATGGCTTGTATTGTATGTATATGTATATCGGTGTGAAAAATATAGAAAAAAATATAAAACAAAAATAGCATATTCCCAGTTGTTGTTGTCGTCGTGTCCAATGAAGAGCCTCAGATGTCCCCGTGCATCTCTATCACAGCAGCCGCATTGTCCACTATCTTGGGTGTGTAAAGCTGCTGCTCTGGGTACATGTCGGCATATCCCCTGACCGCTCACATTAGAATTTTAGATAACAGCATCATCTAGTAGAAACAAAAATCAACTGAACGTTGATTTAACTTGTTCCATGATATTTAGCTAACCAAATTTCTTGATAAATCAAGAAAAGCCAAACACGTACACGTTTCAGGCTTTATGTATATAATTTCATTCGCATAAAGTTTTAGCGTATATTCATAACCAACGCCCTTTTCTTGTCGTGTAAATATAATGAAAGTTCCTAATATCAAAAGCTTTTAAAATTCCCCAATGTCTCAATTATAATTATAATATTCGTGGTTTTCTATGACGTTGATTGTATCCTCATAGGTCTCCTAACTGTTTCTCAGCTTCAGCTCTTTTATTTTCGGCTACTTCTTTATATGTCGTTTTGTTTTTGGAAAAGTTGGATGAAGACCTCAAACAAGTTTAAAACACTTCGATATTCTTCAACTTCTTCGTCTCATGTGCGAGGCCGAGCTAATGGTTTAATTTGTGGATTAAAATGGCTATATATGGCTTCTATATTTACATATGTTTTGAGGGAGGATGATTCTGGTGCATATATCTTTAGTTTCATAATTTTATTGGGATTATCACACACGCGCCTATTTTCAACTCAATTTATATTTCAACCACTTCAAAAACGCGAGAAACTGAGAGCTATTAAAGTACACTAATGGACAAAACTTAAGAAAGTGGAAAGTCTTCGTGGAAAGTGGTCGTCAGTCAGTTTTTTTTTTTTTTTTTTTCAAGTAGTCAGAGGTAATTTTGTTCACACTTGGTTATCTCGTGGATCTTCAATAAAGGTCATTGTGTATCCAATATTTTCCCGAGTTATTGTCTGAATCCCGATATAAATGCTTAAAAGGTACAACTTCTTTAAGTTTTGTCCATTAGTGTATATTATAGATGTTTATCTCTTCATATATAGTTGAACCTCTCCAAGGATCCCTTCCAAGACTTTACAGAGGACTCTCTCTAAAGGTGGGAAAGCCTCCCTTGCTGAAAAAAATTGTGCATATACAACTGTATATATTTCCATACATTTTATCTACCCTTCATTATATATTATCCTTTTTAATACACAGCAATAACGCGTCATCTATATATATCAAATGAAAACATTAAGACGCGAATGTTTCTTTTCACAAACAAATCAAACTTCTACTGTCCTTGTAATTGTAGAAATACATCCTGTATTTGAAAAATAAATAGCATTGGAGAATTACATCCTCAACATAAAATTGGTTGGACAAGCATTCATTCAAGCAGAATACCACGATAACTTATTCGTGTTTGTATATCGACAAATTTATCTTACAAGGTTGCCCCGAAAGTTCGTAAACGCTTGCAAAAAATTGAAATAACAAATTTATTCGCCGTTATGTATAATGTCTTTGTATTATGCATAAAGTAATTGTATTATGTATTCGCCGTAATAATATTATTCGCCAAGTAATAAGAAAAACAAAGTTTTAAAGAAAAACACAAATGGGACAACCTTATAATTATCACAGAAGAAATAATTCCTTTCTTTATGTTGGAATATTGCACAGAGTAGCAATAACTATAGATGAGCTCCTGTTTGAAAAAGATCTCTTGTATATAATTATTTTTCTTGTGTTTTTACATATATAAATAATACTAAGTTTGTTTTTTATATTTACCAAGGCTACGATCGCCTGCTTCCACTGCGCTTCTGGTGACTACCAAGGCCGAAGCTGTCCAACCCGCGCACGGCCAAGTGCGCTAACTGCTCAGCCAAGGGCCTCTCTGCCGACCACGAGGCAAGATCAATGTCTTGCCCAACTGCCAGAGCTAGAGCTGCAAAGTTCTAGTCCTCCCGCCTTCTTCCTGCCTCCTGACCTCCGCGGACTCAATGCGGCCTAACCTGCCTCTTCCCTGACGGAGATCCTGTCCCTAGCCTCCCCAGCTTAGCCATAGTGCTTTGTATATAGTCCGCTTTACGCGGCCAATGGGGCTCAAAAATCATTTTATTTTGGTTAGCCGCCCCGTAAATAAAGATATTTCCGTGTATATTTGGCTATTAATTATAAATGATATGCAATGTTAAAAGATTATGAATTCATCCTTCTTAATAAGCTTAAAATATTTAATTTTAACTTAACACTTTAAACCCCAAAAGCGCAGAGAGACAAGTTAGGACGAGATAAAAAAATCAATATTCTAGATTTGAAAAAATTCAGTATAGAATACTAATAAGTGAAGTCGAAACTATAAACTAAACATTTCCGTCATTTTCTTTAAGAACGTACTCGTGTGTGAAAACATATCACACATTCATATCACACAATTGTACATGTTGTGTGTGTGATCCTACGCAGACATACATATCCCCATTTCAAATAAATTCAAATATGTTAATAATAGAATCTCTTGGGTAAAATCTATATATATAAATATAAAAGTCAATGTCTGTCTGTCTGTTTCGCGATAAACTCAAAAACTACTGAACCAATTGGTACCAAATTTTGCATGTCGCTTTTTATAAACCTGAGGAAAATTTTCGGCTGCATTTTGATTAGTATTTTTGCCTATTTCTTTTTTCATTTGAAGAACTTTTTTACGCGGACTAATCCGGAATGGAATGAATACCTAAATATGGCCTTTTTTTTTAAGCATCGGTGGTTCAGTGGTAGAATGCTCGCCTGCCACGCGGGCGGCCCGGGTTCGATTCCCGGATTAAAACTCATTTATATTATATATAATATAAATATATATATATTATTATATCAACTATATAATTAAATCAAATACCTAAACACTAATATAATACAATTTATGCCATCACACACACTTTTTTCCTGTAGTTTATGTGTTACTTCTGTATTGCTATTCTATGGCACTTCTAATATTTATTATTGATATACTTTTAGTATGAAGGAAATTGTAATCGAGGGAATTCTCGGGCGAAGCCGGGTCATTCGCCTAGTCTATATATATAAAAATGAATGTTTGTGTGTCTGTATGTCCGGTATACAAATTCGCAGTAGTTCACTAATTCAAACCAAAATTTCCATACATAGGTAAAAGAATACGGGAAAGACGATAGGCTATTTTAAAAAATATATAAATCAATTATTAAAACTATATATTCAAATTATTCAACTTAGCTCACAAACAGCGCCCTCTAGAACGCGTGGGGATCTGACGGCGGCGCGCGCCCATTGGCTGCTTTATACTCTTTACTTTTGTTTAGCTTTTAAATAACATATTTTTTCTCTACTTTGCCTATTTTTATTACTGTTTTATACTCTTTTCTTTTGTTTAGCTTTTAGAGATCTGAGATGCCTCCCAAGAAACGCAAACCTATTGGAAAAGTCCTACCAGAAGTGAGTAAAAAAGAAATGTGCGAAGTGCTGAGACTGCTGTGTAACGTGAGCATCGTCTTAGGATTAATCGAGAAAGGGCCAGTACTTCGAGAGCGGCGGAATCCGTGGGACAGCGTGAGAACAGGCTTCGGCAAAATAGAAACAGGGTCAGTACTTCGAGAGCGGCAGAAACCCCACAAGAACATACGGCCAGGATTCTGAATGTCAGGGAAAGAACTTTGGCCTCACGAAACTCGCGTGATAGACTTTCCAATTTACTTTTAGAAGGTTTTAATTATGATTCGTGCAAAAATTACGAACAACACCCAATGATATTGCTGTATCATGTTTGATTATCAGATACAAAATTATAACGGGAAAAATTCCAAAAAACAGAGACCACGGGTGAAACCAGTTCATTATTTTGTATGCAGGAACAAAAAATTCTAACAGAAAAACATTCATTCGAGCAGAAAACAAAAGCCAGATCATATTTCTATAAAAATATCGCTTCTCAGACACAAAGTTTGGAGCGGTACGTTTCACAAGAGTGACATCCACGGCGCCAATTTATAATTGTAACGAATAGTATTTGAATAGGGTACATTTAATAGGGTAAAACCCGGGCGTTGCCCGGGTCATTCGGCTAGTTATAAATAAAATACAATTCGTTGAGGGAAGAGTTTCTTCTATATATATCGGCAATATAAGTTTTCTGGCTCAACAGCCAGGTATAACTAGGATACTAAGTAGCGTAGGGACTGTTAAACCCAAATGCTTGTATTGTCGTTATATAAAAAAAGAAACTCTTTCCAAAGCGAATTGTCTTTTATTTATAAATTCAAATATATTTGGATCTCTCACTTTTGTCATAAAGAATTTCTGTGGAGGTAAGCTAACTAGCGAGCATCAGGGTAAATAAGAAGTCGGTGGACGAGTGGGTAACACCCTCGATTCCCGACAGTCATGAACTGGAATTGAATCCCACGTTAACATTTTTTTTTAATATGTGAATAACCTTCACATATTATTCATTGTTTCAAATATCATAAACTAGATTGGTCTTGTTGAGCGGTACCTAATAAAGTGATTTTGGAACTGAACATCGGGGTAAGAAAGTTGAAACATTCGCGATTACAGACACAGGTTAACTGCAGACTTACGGTCTGATATAGAAATCTGAAATGTTGGCTTTCCTACCAACGGGCGATATCTCCGAGCAAAACGATAACCACCCTCCAAAATTGAAATTAAAACAAAGTAATTCAGAATAACTTAACGCAATTCGCTCAACTACAGATCCGCAGCACGAAGCTTTCCTCCAGTAGGAGCTATCAATATTGTACTGATTAGGGTTTGTAACTATATCAGAGTTAATTTCTTGTTTCATAACGCTTTAATGCGTTTATGTAAAATTATATTTGCGGGAAAGAGCGTTGCTCGATGCAATTACTTCTGCAAACCTAAAAAGGCTATGTCCATAAATTCGCATATTACCCCTTATATACTTTCCTTAGAAGATGCAATAGAACAAGAACAGTGACATAAGGCATAAGCCTAAGAGCCCAAGTCACCCACTTTATAAAGCTCAAATAGACAGAACCATACAGATTACAAATTACGTGGGAGATGCAGAAAACCTTCAACAATCTTTATAAACAATTAATTCTTCATGACTCAAGTATATAGTACCCTTAGATCCAACTCTATTCAATTAGTTATGCAAAATATGAGAAAAAGCATCGCAGCTACAAATGAACTAAGTCAGAATCTAATAGGAGTAAACCCGGACATTTTTCTCCTCACCAAACCTTATACCATCAAAGATAAAGTTTTGTTCTCGTTATCTTCCGGTATATTTTCTTCAACTCCAATCCTCTCGGATCACTCACCCCACTTTATTTATTCTTCTATCATTATTTTGAACTCTCAATTAAAAGTTTATCTTATCCAGGACTTTATATAAAATATATCGCAGTGAGAATGAAGATCAATATATCAGATAAACCAATCATTCTCTGCTGTATCTACATCCACCCAAATCGATTCAATGATAATCATGGTCAGTTTCTAAATAATCTTCTTATAAGATATAGCTCTTCTCCATTGATCATAAGCGGTGATCTGAATGCTTGCTCTCCAGTATGGTGGGAACAATAAAACCAATGTTAATGGTCAAAAACTGAATAACTTTCTTCCTCAACACGATATCTATATTCATAATAATGCCCAACCTACATGTCGTGGAACAAGTATAATAGATCTAACTCTAACCAATCCACAGGCAATGAACTTGGTTCAAAATCGGAAAACGACCCAACTCGTCACTATTTCCGATCACAACGGAGTTATATATTTCAAATCTCTACTCCGAACAAAAGTAATTCAAAATATGTTAATTCTATGTGGAAGTTTAAAGAAAAACAAGTAGAATGAACAAAATTCTTAGAATCAATTAATATTTCATAAGCTCATTATCTACAATCTAAGCTTGAAGAAGCAACACAACCAAAAGAAATGGATAACCTGGTCTATCAAATTTCGGAAATAATAATTGAATCTGCGCATAAAACTCTTCCAATAAAAACCCAATATGCCTAACACCTCATATTCTGTCAAATAGTGGAAATGCTAAAACGAAACTTTCGCTATACATACGCAACCTATATTACAGAAATAATCCTAAAGTGAGAAGCGACTTTTTCCGTGAAGCAAAACGCAAATATGTAACAGCAATGAAAAACCCAAGTACAACAGCTGGAGAGACTATATTGAGGGACTCCCCTTCGGTAATCTCCATAAATTAGCAGAAAGAATTTTTGAGAAAATATCGCAAATTTAAAAATTATTAATAATTTTTAAATTACATGTTCAATAGCTATGTCAGAACTTCTCAATAATTTTTGTTTCTGAACGGTACTCAAGTTACTGATTCAGCACACAAAACATACTAACTCGAAATTATATCACTGATCACAAGAACAAAAAAGACCATTTTTACAGAAACTGATTTTGATACAATGATCTCACAGCTAAACCTGGAAAATTCGCGGAATAGATCATATATCGAATAGGATGATAAAATGGTCGTTTAGTAACTGAGACCCCTTCTATTAGGGACCTTCAACAAATATGGGCAAACGGATCACTTCCCTCATCCTTGGAATAACTCCACGGTACGTATATTTTCAACAAATCCAACAAGCCAAACAATATGAGTTATAAAGCCTATCGCCCCATATGCCTCCTTCCCAACTTAGCTAAAATCTTTGAAAATTTATTAGCCAGAAAATTAAAAAACTCCCCTGCTGAAGACAAGCCAACAGGGTTTCTTGAAGAGACGTTCAACGATCTCCGCTCTTGAAGAAATAACTAGAAGCATCGTAGAATTTAAACAAAAACAACTAGTCGCCCTCCTTTCAGTAGATATTACTGTGACAACTCCTGGCATCCAAGTATAATTAAATCCCTTGATCAATTGAACACTCCATTTGATCAAATAAGAATCATAGAATCATACTCTCAAGATCGAAATGTATTTTTTAATACGCTGGATTTCTTGTATCAAAACAACTAAACAAAGGATGCCCACGGGGAGGAACACTGTTACTTTGGAACATCATCCTCAACGGCCTCCTCGTCCGCCTTACTCAAATATCAAACATTCGTCCTGTAGCATACGCCGATGATATCGTTCTCTGGACCACAAATATAATAGACTTAAGAAATTTAATTCAAGCTGTTTTTCGTGTAATAGACAATTGGTGTGATGAAAGGGAGTAAAGGGCTTACTTACTTGGGGACTTGGGGGGGGGGGGGATATCATTTTTAAAATTCTGTTCGAGAGTGTCTAGAAATATGCCCAGATATATTGCATTTGAAACATATCGGTCTATCATCATCTGTTCTAATTCTATTCTACTGTGTGAACATATTCATGTTTGTTTTAGAATTTAGTGAGCTATAAGTTATTCTTGGAGGGTATTTAGAGGCCATTTGTTGATAACTAGTATTATAGGCTTGCTTATACCTTGAAATTGTCTCGGGTGGATGTCTTGTCTTCTTGGTTGGGGTATTGCCTTCTTGGCTGGAAGCATTAAGGGTTCCTTGGGTGGTTTGATTTAAACATTTTCTCGTTCTTTTCCACTCTCTCATTTTATTCCTTCTCGAATGAATCTAATTAATTTCAAGTATTTAGAAGTGCCTCAATTGAATCAGGTAGAATAGATAGAGCTATGTGGGTTGTATTGCTAGTGCATAGTATTTTTTCAACTCACCTACTACAATTATAATTTTCTCTTCATTTTTGGGTCGAAATTATTGCACAAGAGTAGAATTTCTTCTGTGTCTCTAATATCGCAGGCTCATTCAAATTTTGC